GACAGAAATTCAATGTCTATAAAGTAAGTTTCAAATGCAAATCCTGATCAGAATGGCCACATTTGAGAAACAAAGTTATATATGTTAAATACTGAAACTTGTGATCAGAGAATTATTTGAGACATTACAAAGTTATAGACTTCTGGTGATTTCCAGGTCTGTGAATTTATACCAAGAGACATTGCAGCTGAACAATACTTGTGTATCATTGTCTTCATTGATAGTGTATTGTTTAATAAATATTATAGTTTTCTTAATTATTTGATTATAGATAAAAGCCTAGTCCCTGGTGGTCTGAGTTAATTTTTGTGATTAAAGTTACACGTTATTATTCCCCTTTGTACAGGAAATCATTTAGGTCCTCCAATGGTCGCTGGATAAGTCTTCTTTCATGATCTGATATTCCACTCTTGCACTTTCTGAATTTTGGATTTTAGATTTGAGTTGAAGAAATGTATTTCTACAGACTGATTGCTTATACATCCTTGGCTTTCAAATATTTGTTTTTGACCATTCCTGATAAAGGTTAATCCAGAAAAGCCCTTTTTAAAGTGTTATTTTCATTTTTTATAAGAAATTCAGGGTAGAACGAGACTACTTTGGTTAAACTTGCACTGATTTACATCCTTTGTCTGAATTACTTGATAATTGGGTTTTTCTCGGTGTTTCACTGGTTTTGAACCTGATAGATAGGTGTCAAAACGTCCGGCTTTAATTTTGTTTTTCCCCTTTAAACGACCACTGTCAGTAGGTCGGACTAGCTAGATTTTATCCGACTGTCTGTGACATCTTTATCAGTGTTTGAACGTCAACCCTAGACAGTTTGCATGTGGAAAATTTTACTCTGAAACTTACTCTAATGACAGATTTGTTCCCTTTGGAATAGTATGGTATTGTCTTGTCCTCTAATTGTAATTAACATAACTTAATTATCACATATTTGTATAGAAAGTCTGGTACTTTAAAAGTCACACTGCAGACTTATCAAAGCTGTTAACACTAGGTTATAAAGAGCAGACAAGTCTTGTATCTTTTTTTAAATTTTGGTTCATTTATATGTTTCGGAGTTTAGTGTGACGTCCATTTTCGCTGATTTAGTATACATTATTGTTTAGGGGCCAGTTGAAGCCCGCCTCCGGGTGCGGGATTTTCTCGCTGTGTTGAAGACCCATTGGTGGCCTTGGGCTGTTTTCTGCTATTTGGTCGGGTTGTTGTCTCTCTGACGCATTCCCCGTTTCCATTCTCATTTTTTCTCTCTATTGCAAATGTTTGCTTAGAGTCATAGAAGCTGCATTCATCATAAAGGATTCTTGGGTATTGTATACAGCTGATATTTTATATTGTAAACAGACACAGGATTAAAACACCTATGAACTGGTGGAATAAATCAACATACCTAATACATCTATAAACTGATGGAATAAATCAACATACCTAATACATCTATCAACTGATGGAATAAATCAACATACCTAATACATCTATAAACTGATGGAATAAATCAACATACCTAATACATCTATCAACTGATGGAATAAATCAACATACCTAATACATCTATCAACTGATGGAATAAATCAACATACCTAATACATCTATCAACTGATGGAATAAATCAACATACCTAATACATCTATCAACTGATGGAATAAATCAACATACCTAATACATCTATCAACTGATGGAATAAATCAACATACCTAATACATCTATCAACTGATGGAATAAATCAACATACCTAATACATCTATCAACTGATGGAATAAATCAACATACCTAATACATCTATCAACTGATGGAATAAATCAACATACCTAATACATCTATCAACTGATGGAATAAATCAACATACCTAATACATCTATCAACTGATGGAATAAATCAACATACCTAATACATCTATAAACTGGTGGAATAAATCAACATACCTAATACATCTATAAACTGATGGAATAAATCAACATACCTAATACATCTATAAACTGATGGAATAAATCAACATACCTAATACATCTATAAACTGATGGAATAAATCAACATACCTAATACATCTATAAACTGGTGGAATAAATCAACATACCTAATACATCTATAAACTGGTGGAATAAATCAACATACCTAATACATCTATAAACTGGTGGAATAAATCAACATACCTAATACATCTATAAACTGGTGGAATAAATCAACATACCTAATACATCTATAAACTGATGGAATAAATCAACATACCTAATACATCTATAAACTGGTGGAATAAATCAACATACCTAATACATCTATAAACTGATGGAATAAATCAACATACCTAATACATCTATAAACTGATGGAATAAATCAACATACCTAATACATCTATAAACTGATGGAATAAATCAACATACCTAATACATCTATAAACTGGTGGAATAAATCAACATACCTAATACATCTATAAACTGGTGGAATAAATCAACATACCTAATACATCTATAAACTGGTGGAATAAATCAACATACCTAATACATCTATAAACTGGTGGAATAAATCAACATACCTAATACATCTATAAACTGATGGAATAAATCAACATACCTAATACATCTATAAACTGGTGGAATAAATCAACATACCTAATACATCTATAAACTGGTGGAATAAATCAACATACCTAATACATCTATAAACTGATGGAATAAATCAACATACCTAATACATCTATAAACTGGTGGAATAAATCAACATACCTAATACATCTATAAACTGGTGGAATAAATCAACATACCTAATACATCTATAAACTGGTGGAATAAATCAACATACCTAATACATCTATAAACTATTCGAGACGTAGGTATACCTGGAATTATAAAGTTCTATAGCGAAAGCATAGGCCTAACCTTATCTGAGACTATAAGAACTGCTGTTGGGTTGCTGTCTATTAGAGATATGTATTCAAAACCCTATTGCACCCGTAAACAGTACCAAATTCGTTTCATGATTTCACTGTGCACTGAACATAGAAATGTGAAAGTGTGAAATAAGTATATTTTTTTATTGAGGTAGTTTACCATGAAGTTGAAGTCAAATCAATTTGAAACTTAGTACACATGGTCATTATGATGTGAACTTTTGAAATTATATGCCAAAATAAGATTTTATGGTTCACGGAACATGAACATATGAAAGTGTGAGCGACTCCGAGGCATGGTGTCCTTTGAACACCTTTGTTTTTATGTTGTAATCCTTTTCGGTAAATTAAAATATGAATTAAATGATATGTAGGGTATACATCAACGAAATTGCAACCCAACGACACAACAAAACACATCTAGAGGACAACATACAATATTAAGGTAGATTCATGGTATACCGCCATCTTGGATTGTACAATCCCAGTACAAAATCGGTCTAGTTATTTGCCTAAATCTGCAAATTTGGAGATAGATTTACAATTTATTGGTTAGACTGTTTATTTACGTAAATAAAAATTGGTGATTTCTTGTATAAGGCAAAATATTTAAACAAATATCAAATTTTGTGTTTTTTTAATCAATTTTTTCAAATAAGCCATTTCAGGGAAGATAACTCTTTTAGTAAAAAATATATACTGGAATGATAGGGAAGTTTTTAATTTTTACTTGTAGCAAGAAAACAAGTTCGGTGACACCATTTTTTCTTTTTATTTTCTTAAAACATATTATAAAACCTATCTTCTCACAATTTATTTCAAAATTCTATCTCATAGATTTTTTTGTATGCACACAAATGTGTTTTTTCATGAACAATCTAACCAAATTTAGGCAATTTTCAACGACTCATAGCTTGGAAAATAGCACGGTGACCCATACTTTTTATTATATTTTTGAAAAAAGTATAGTAAAATCTTCATTTTGGCAAAGTATAAGAAAATTCTATCTCAAGAAATATATACCTATGATCTACCTTAAGTAAAAGACATGTGTTGATTTTTTCTTCAGTGTGTGTTTGTTTTATTTTTTTACTTTAAGGCGATTTGGATCTTTACATTCTAATTATTTGAGGGGTGCTGTTTCGGATTTCTTTTCCATTTGTTTCTTTTGGGAAACAATGGGGAGGTGTCCGTTATTATGTAGACTAAAGAATTTTTCATTTTAACATAGTTTTTTCTATCATTTTCTTTTTCTGACAAGTTGGTGTTACATATTTACTTGTGTTTCATTGTTGACCAATTACGTTCATAGTTCCCTGGTTATTTGTAATCTATATGTTCCCTGTTCAAATACACAAATATTAAACATTTTATAGTTTGGTCTTATGCTGTGCTGTTACACCATTGTCCTAGGTAAAGAGAAGGGTTGGGCCTTCAAAACGTTTAAAACCCTACCAAATTATTATTGTGCCGGCTCCAATTCACGAACTAAAACTAGGCCGTTGGTTTTCTCGTTTTAACTGTTTCACAATTTGTCACGTTGGGGCTTTTATAGCTTACTACATGGTATGAGTTTTACTTATCGGTTAAGGACGTACATTGACCTATCGTTGTTTACATCCTCATCCTTTGGTCTCGGTTTTGAATAGATTACCTTAGATTATTTGGCAAAACCTTTCGGAAATTTGGGTCCTCAGTGCTCTTCGACTTCGAACTTTATTTGGCCCTTTAAACTTTTTTGATTCGGGCGTCAATGATGAGTCTTTTGTATACGAAAAACGCGTCTGGCGTACAAAATATTAATCCTGGTATCTCTGATGAGTTTATTTGATAATCGACGGGTGCCACATGTGGAGCAGGATCTTCTTACCCTTGCGGAGCACCTGAGATCACCCCCACTTTTTGTTGGGTTCGTATTGCTTAGTCTTTAGTTTTCTATTTTGTGTTTTGAGTACTATTGTTTGTCTGTTTGTCTTTTTCTTTTTAAGCCATGGCGTTGTCAGTTTATTTTCGATTTATGAGTTTGAATGTCCCTCTGGTATCTTTCGCCCCTCTTTTGTCTCATTGACAATCATACTACAGTTCTTTGTATTAAAAACAATAACAAATGAAAACTTCGATATTTATTGGTCAACAACCTTATTTAACAACATGTATAGAAATATTCTACAAATGTTTTACAAATAAATTTGACAATAAAATCATAACCCTGTACAGATATGAACAATGATCTGATTGGACTAAGTATGTGGTAGAGTATCTTTCATAAATACATAAAATACATCATTATAAAATATATATTCCACTGAAATTAGTCTTCAAATACATCAATTTTCTCCTTCTATCAACATTAATTGAAACTTTTTATTTTCATTTCATCATCAAATTTAATACAATTAATGCTTAAATTTTTTTTTAAAAAGATAAAAGTTAATGCTGAGAGTAGAAACCTTCAAACCTTAATTGCGAAAGTTACAAAACAATACCATATTTTAAAGAAGCCTTTAAAATTAACTCTTTAGCATGCATATAAAAACATATATTTCACTTTCAATGGATTACTCTTAAAATATTTCAGTCCAATTAAATTTCTACGATAAATAACATAGACCCGTTAATCGTAAATAAATATGCTTTCCGTTTACAGTTTTATGAAAGACTTTATTTTCTGTTTGAATGTAATAAAAAAAATAAAGATCCACCACGATATAACTAGGTCTAACAGATCTGTCAAAATGTGCTCATTTTTAAAATAAAAATCCATTCTTCAGATCCCCAAAGTGATCTGTCACTTTAACAATTCTGTAATAATATAGTAAACTTCAGTTCAAAAACTTGTTGGCCTATATATTTCATTGTTAAAACTTAACTTTTCAAGTCTTCAATACTCTTCATTTTGCTCTGGACGTTATGTATTTAGATACATGTTGTAGACTATAAAAATATGATGATGACAAACGTCAACAACATGGACAAAAGTTGTCATAAAACATTCAGATCTTTAAATAAAATAAGTCACTATCATGACTTTTGTAAAAAGGAAAAACAATTAGGGAGACAACAATTATCCCTGATGTATAACTTATATAAATATACATTTATGAAATGTATGGTAATACAAATATCATATTTGCAATATGCAAAAAGAGCTTTTAAATATATAAAATACAACTATCAAATTTGCAATATGCAAAGCGAGCTTTTAAATGCTTAAAATACAACATTCAATATATACAAACAAAACGTAATTTACAATAGGAACACAAATAGCACTTTCTGAAATGAGTTTACCCGCTACTATTAATTATGATCAAATATTTACATATATAAACAATAACTTTTACTATCTTGTTTAAAGTCCATCAGTAGACCAATCATAGCCGTCGTCTTTCTCTTTCTTATCGGCTCTGCACTTGCGCACAATTTCTGCAATGACGTATACTACAGTTCCTGTCAAGCAGGTGGCAAAGAGTATGTATATTTTATGGGTCATACACACACTGCTGGCATAGGCAAATCCAAAGGTCATCCCGAGTCCATTAACGACTCTCAAGGAGGCAAACGCTTCTTCTAGCTTGTCAGGAAAAATCCTACTTATTACACCTGTGTAAAACAGTAAATATATACCAATTGTTTGCAAACAAATTGTCTTCTATTTAATGCAACGTCTTGATGTAAACTTAAGGTTAGAATTTGAGCTCACAGAAAATAAGGTGGTGTACTTTTATTAAAAATGAAGATGTCGCATATTATTATACCAACTTAGATGAGAATTCATTTATGACTACCATAATAGTCCCTGAGATGAAAGTAATGATTCTGTAATTTTTCAAAATATTCCAATTAATATTTTTTTAATTCAAAGTTCAGTTGCAGTGTTGAACAGAATTTGACCCGAATTTCAAATTTCTTGCATATTTATTTCGATTGCTTCACTTTTGAAAATGAAAATTTTGAAGTATATGATTCTCTTTTGTAATGTTATTAAAAAGATTGATACCGGGTCAAACCAAAGACTTGAAAACTAGTATTTGCTGTTTCTCCGCTAAGCGGTCGGCTCGGCGGAATCAAGAGGAGAGTGAACTAGCAGGTTAAAAAATCAAACTCAGCGTTTCATTCTAGTACAAAGCAGGCCTCATATTCATATCACATTTAGTATTTAATTTGCTCGTTTACTGTTTTACGTAAATCAGTTATTCGTTCTGGCACTGAAAAAAACATGGAGTCTAAACTGCGAAAGCCTAAAATGTAATATTTATACATATTGATATAGGAAAACTATTGCCGTTTCAAACTTACAGTTTACTTGAGACATCCAGATTCCATCACCAACGCCCCAAGCACCAAGCAACAGGAAGTAAAAATACAAGTGTTCTTGGTTCGGTTGCCATACCAACATCACACCCAACAAAACCAAATCAATGATGGTTGCTGTAAAAGGAAAACGAATAAAGTCAGACTATATACTAGTACATCGAAATGTTGAAAAGACACGAAGCTTTATAAAAGCCTGACCTAACCCTTATTTGAAATTAATGCTGACAATTTCTATGAGTACATAAGAAAACAACACTTGACACGGTCAATTACAATTGAGAATCAAGTTGCTGCTCTCCGAAAGAAAAACCGGATGCAGAAATAAAATTGTAAACTCACCGATAATTCGTCATTAAGAGCCTTAACGGGTATGGTACATTCTTACAATCGGAAACATCATGTTGTAACCTTCTCATGATTTCCAGACTTCCGGTACATAAATTCTGGACAGACAAATATGCCTGGATGTGTTTATTAAACACATAAAACTGAAATTAGAAGTGCAAGGTGTCAGGATCATACTGGGAGCTCAACGGTTGCCACAGAGAGTAAATCTGCAACTGGACGAAGTTAGGATCTGTAATCAAAGTCTGATTAGTAAAATGTAATAAAAGTATGATTAGTAAAATAGAAACCAGGAAAAGAGTACACCTGCAATAAACACAAATATTTTATTATTATCACATGAAGCGTCTTTGCTCTATTAAATATTGTTGAGTATTTCTTTGATTATTCGGATTTTGAAGGTAATTCGTCATCTTGAATGTCTTTGCAGTGATTTTTAAAGAATAACCTTCAATCAAATACTGCTGTTTAAATAAATTGCATGGTCTACAAGTTGTGTTGTGTCATTCGGATTCTCTCAGATGAATGTCCTGATACCTAATAGAAACATTATACTAGGATTAATTTATTTAATCCATAATATAAGTATTTAAACCGGTAAATATTTGATGAACGTTCACTGTTAATCTACTATGAATCCCGACCAAGTAAACCCTAGTGTGACCGAGTCTCAAACGTATGAATAAATATGTAAGTACTCCCGTCCTGGATTGTAAAATTTACATGGCATCTGCAATCAAATAAATAGAAATCAAATGTAAATTACGCTATTCATGCAAAATAAAATCCGATACCAATAAAATATTATCTAAAATCAAAATACGACATTACCTGCAGAAATGAGACTAACATTGCCAACATGTTTCTCCAGTTTCCCACTCACAAATGAGCTTATGCTCCCACAGACTCCAAAACAAATCATTGTGTAACCAACCATATGGATTCCGAGTGGACAAGTTACAAAAGCCTGTAGAATAGAGAAATCTATCTATAAAATTAATGTTGATACCCTTTTTTTTCGATCCTTATTTATCAACTATTTATCGTCTCCCCTCTATGATTATTAAATTTTGAATCAATGTTTTACTTTAATTGTTTTAATCTATTGAGTATTGTATCAATACGAGAACCACTTCGAATAAAGCTGAAAGTATTTCGCTTAAAATAATTAAAAGCCTGAGCTCAACCGGCTCTTTTCATAGTGGTTAAATTTCACATTTCAAACACCGAACCACCACAATTAAAATATTTCCAGGCTGTGCGAACAATCTTTATCAAAATTAATGATTCCTGTTTTTTTTTTTTTTTTTGCTTCTGAATAAAAAGGTTGTTTAATACTTACAATTTCATTTGTATTTTAGAATAACTTTATACCATAAACAAAATATCTGCACTTTTTATTTAAATTTGGTAAATGTATAATATGTACGGTAAATCACAAACTGAATGACTTTCGTGTTAATATAACAAGACAATATTACCTTTGTAACCTCAGCCATCACAAAACCAAGTTCCATGTTGCTGTAGAAGAACATTATAAAGCAAGTCAGGAATCTTGGTTCTACAATGCAACGCAAGACGGCCGCGGCTTGGTTTGCTATATGCTTAATGTTTATTTTTGAGGTCCGATAGTTTTTCAATCTATCCATTAAAAACAGAGGTAGAATGAGTGACAAGACGGTGGCTACTCCATAAATGCCCAACAAATTGTATCTTGACGTCGCAGTTAGAGCTCCAAGTTCGATGGGATATGAATGGCAGTATTTTGACCCGCATATACTAATTTTATTCTGTTCATATTTTGATAGGTTTGAAAATGGAATGTCCATGTTCATAGAATCATTCAAATTGGAAACGGAATTGTATACAATATTTTGAAGATCAGTGTTTGTTGAGATCGTTTTGTTCGTAACATCATTTTGGTCATTTAACACAATGGATGAGATCAAGTTACCAGCTACAACAGACAACTGGAAAAAGCAGAAAAATACACCAAAATATTTCCCTGCAACGTGGACGGTTCTTTTATCGTTTCTAATGGCAGTTGATCGTGCAAGGTAAGTCACGTACGTGCTAACAGCATTCCACATCAAAGCACTGGCAGCTCCTTGTAACACTGAAGCGGGTACCAGGATATAAATGTTTGGAGTAACATTGGCAGCAACGTATAATAAATGGGCGAACAAGGACAAGATGAGACATCGCTTTGGTCGAAATTGTTGGATAAGACTAGGCGTAAATAAACTGAGAAATGTAAAAGCTGCCATACTCCCTGTTAACGAGTATAATCCAACACCACCATCGTGATTAAGACTGCTCTGTAGATTTCTGAGGGATGAAAACGCAGCATTCATTAATGATACTGAGACGCTTATCACTAAGAGATTCTTAATTTCATTTCCTTCAAAGAAAGACTCCTCTTCAATCTGAACTGGATCTGGAACCTGATTTATTAATACTGGTAGTAAAGTGGAGCCTTTCATTGAACTTTTACACGAGAGATCTTGACTTAGATTAATTATTGCGTTTTTACAAACTCTTTCTAGTCGTCTAACACCTGGACTTGGACAGGAAAACTCATCAATGTATGCATTACTTTCCCACAAGGGCGGATCCACCTTGAGTTCATCGTGTACATGAGGAACAATCTCGACAATGGATATTTCGAACCCCTTAGTCGATCCTTCTATAAATTCTTGAAACAGATTTTCTTTCGCATCATCTTGAATATACGTATATTCTTTCTCCTGTTCACCTTTTAGTAAGGAAGCAAGCTGATTTTCAGTACTAGTAACAGAATCGATGTATGCCGGATTTTCAAGTAAGTGAATGTTAGCATTGTCGTCTTCTGATCCGGTCTCACTATCTTCCCATATTTTGTTTTTATCTCGTACTAAAAATGCTGTCCCGCTCTCATTACTGGTAACAGAGTCCGTGTACTCGGGGTTTTCCAGACTTTCTATCTTTTCTCCTGCTGACGGATCAGATGTGTTATCGTTCTTTATGTTCACATGTAAACTACCTTCCATCGTTCCATTGGTGACAATTGTTGGTAGTGAATCCATACCCAACTGACCTTGTTTCGATTCTATATAGTAGGTTCCACCATAGTCACTATCTACAAAATAAGTATATAATGTTTGCAAATACTCGGACAAGACCTAACCTAAACAGAAATGAGTAAATTTGTTTAATTACCGTAATAATCTATAATCTGTTAAATCGAATTAACAAATTTCACTGTATAGTGTATATGGAATACTGATAAAGAATCAATGCCCCTTGAAGATTGGACATTCGTACTTATACATACGCAACTACGTACAGTCAGATGGAGGATGTTTAATAAAATGTCCCTGTTTGCAATCAGCATGTCAAAGAATGCCTTACGCATCATTTCAAAGGATTCAATAGGTGACATGCAGAAACGACATTTTTAAATATCCCTACCAATCTATTGTAACACTATAGAATCCTAAATGTGAATGATTTTTTTACCGCTCGAAATTAAGAAAACAAACTGAAGAAAAGAAAAAAAATCCAAACCTCGATTCATATCCTATATATTTATCAAATGGCATAATTAAAATCTCAAACACATCAAACGAATGGAAAACAACTGTCATATTCTTGACATGGTACAGGCATTTCCATAGGTACAAAATGGTGGATTAAAATTCAAGTGTTCTGTCAGTTGACCATACCATCCCTCCAGTAAGTTGCTCGTCTGTCGGTACGGTCTCGTACCCACGTATGGGCTAATTGTGCATTCGATGTTCATAAACTATGTAACTTTTATCAAAATTAAGCTTGTAACTTACTTCAGCAAAGCCCAAGTTATACGAATACAACTGTTCTGTTCGATGCTGTTAATGTTATATGCATTTGGTCCCCACACTTTTGTACCTGATGACGTTGTGTCATGCGCACTGAACGGTATCAGATGTTTATATTACTGATATTATCCAACCAGAGACACATATTACAATATATTGTATTATATATATGTCTCTTATCCAACCAAAGCAATGTTGTAATTTTGATTACTTTAATATGATGGCGTTAACGTTTATTAACTTTATAAAAGTTCTTACCGTTATCCATGTCTCAAATGTAATGACCATTCACTGACCATTCACGATGTTGCTATATTCTTCTTTAACCTTTACTGAACTTTGAACTTCGCAGACTGAAAATAAATTTACACAATGGTTCATTGAACGTATTTTTTTTCGTTAAAAATGCTTATGACTAAGCATTACAGTAAATTAAAAGTCAATGCTCTTTTGTCCATTCGTTTGTATATTTTCCCCTGATGTCAAGAATCGAAATGTTTCAACAATGAATAGATAAGTACCATCTCTATACTTTATTTTTATGATATATTTAAGAAATTATTTTGATTAATTTCATGGTTAATTAACCTAGATTAATTAAATCTGCTTTTACATGGTTTTAAATAGAACATTATTATACCAGTAGGATATCTAATGAATCAATACAATCTCCCTGCTTTATGCTGTATTGATGCCATGTCACAGACTATTTTATTTCTTAAATTTCCAAGAAAATTCTTTATGTATAGATACTGTACACTTTTGTTTCAGTTAATTGAAAGTAGCATCTGAAAATAAAAGTGTATGTCCTGGCTTTTTCTCATGAAGCCGTACAAGACATGATTAATAATAGTTATAGAAGACCGAAATCTACGTCATGCTAATGTTTTCACGATTAGATTGACACAAGTAAGCCACGCCCAACTATCCATAAAAGTAGCAAGTATAATTTATGTGTTGATTTGTATCCAACCTTTTCAGACTTAAAGTATACTAAGGTATTTATCACCTATAAAGATGGTAATCCCAGAGAAAGCGTAAATGTCCTCAATTGAACACAGATACACATTTTCCCTGCAATAGACTTCTTTCACTCCTATACTAATTATATACTGGCAATACGTATATGAGTTCGAGGAAGAATGACTATTCCACTGGCATGTTAACAATATTTTGATCTGAATTCTTGGTTAGATTTACTTTTTCGCCTATAATCATCAAAATCAAAAAGTATCATAATTAAACTTATGACTTATCTGTAAATCCAGTATAGTATTGACAAGGTGTTTGGTCTGAATTCTAGATCCTTGACCTTGTTAATCTATAAAGTCATCCTTATTTAGTTGACACTTTGTCTTCCTAAAGCTCAACTATGCTGAATCGCAGGTTCAACGTTTAGAACTATACGCATATTCTCTCAGCTTGAACTTGGAAGCTAACCTTGAATACTAAAGTCAAGGTGTATATTTAAAAAAAATGGTACCGTTAATGTTCTTTGAATGTTTGCTCTGTACTGTATCATTACTATATTTTCTTTCATAATGTGTTGAAATTTCTCCCGATTCTATGTTGTTACAAAATGTGTTAAACTAGCCGACGTCAAACAGGTGAATTTGATTGTAAACAGGAATCTGTAGGTCTGTTAACACCTTTTATATATTTATTTCAAGATCCACATATCTTCCAAAATATTAAATTTTCAAAAATAATACTGGAATAGTTATGCCAGAATTTTAACAAATGTTTTTTTTTTGTTTTTTTGGGGGGAAAGGGAAGAAGGGGTAGTCATATATATATATATATAAAGTGCATAGAAAATCAACCTAACGATGTTAGAGTAGATCTGTTCCTTTACTTCCTCCCCGAGCGGGGCTGGAACCTGTACTTTTTATTTCTAACTTCTACGACAACATATATAGCTTTGCAGATATGTGGACGTCAACGAAACAGCAAATCGTACACTAATCATTCGAAAGAAAACATCTCATTGTAGAAATAAAAGAAATATAAATCATATTTAACATGTGTTGTATGTGTGATGTCAACCGATTGATTGCGGTAATATGTAGTTTGAATAACAAACGCGACATCAAGGCATTTTTGTTTATAAGAAGAAGCAGTCTCGGTGGCATAAAATCGGTCCAAGGCTGAATGTCAGTCAGAGTCAATTAGGTTTTCTATTGTTACTGCAATTAATGATTTAGTACTCTGCAGCAAGCCAAATCGCGCAACCTTGATTGTTCTCGTCTTTCAGACAATTAATTGTGTATTTACGAGAGCATTTCCACACATTCATATTACAAGTGCACATAAACAAAACATTGGAGCTGTTTCGATTCTCAAGTTTTGAATTTTATCTGTTTTTTTTCCTATGTTATACATTGAATCATTTAGCCCAACAACCCTACATTTTTCAAAATTCTCAGTACTCAGCACTTCTTTTTTGACATGAATTATCATCGATATGGTCATAATTATACATTAACTGTTTACAAAACTTTGAATTTCTTTAAATACTTAGGATTTTCTACCACGGGGATAGGTTATCATAGCTGTATTTGGCAAAACCGTTTAGAATTTTGGTCGTCAATTCGTACATTTTGTTTTTTGCCTTTTTAATTTCTTTGATTCGAACGTCTTTTGTCTGGCGTACATAATTTTAATCCTGGTATCTAATATAAGTTTATTGTCAAGTACTTTTGGGGCAATATTTTAAAATTGTAATTTATTCTAATATAATTTTCATACAGCCTTACAACTGTTCAATCCAAGGATTTGAAAATGAAAAGCCCTTTTTAAAATATGCATTCCCTGTGCATGTAGTGGTTGGTGAAATTTGCATTACATCATTTCCTGTATATGTAATGGATAATGAAATTTGATATACAGTTACGTGAATGTTTCGTGTCGTGAAATGTAGCCATGCCATCTAATAAGATTATTTTTTTAGACTTAACATGGAACATAACAATAAAAAAAAAATGATATGCATGTCATATTTCGGATTTATTTATCTGAAGAACATTTTACGTCTAAGATGATATGATATAATCTACTTAAAGGAATTACAATTAACAACCTTGATTGTTAGATGATAAAGATTTCTGTAATTTAAATACAGCCTTTAGTGTTTTAGTATGTTTATATGAACATGTAATATTTCATTTCAATGTGAAAATGTGTTACGAAATCATAGTGTAATGCTTGTGTATGTGAATGTAATGTTGCCCTCTAAGGGCCTTGAATTAGAACTATATATTTTTATTCTTATTCTAATTCTATACTTCTGAAACAAAATAACGACTATTCCACTGGTATGTAAACAATATTTTGACCTGGATTCTGGACGTTAACTTAGTATTTCACCAATAACCTTGAAAATCAATAGGTATCATCATTAAAGAGGCCAAGGATATATATTCACTAATCTTTAAATCCTATATATTGCTTACAAGGTTTTTTTTTATCTGAATTGTAGACCTTTGACCTTGTAACTCTTTTTAATCCATCCTTTTGTAGTTGACACTACGTCGTCAAAAACTGATGGAGCTGAACTCAGCTGAGTCGCAGTTACAACGTTTAGACATGCACTTATTCCCTCAGCCTGAACTAAGCTGAGTCGCAGTTACAATGTTTAGACATGCACCTATTCCCCCAGCCTGGACTAAGCTGAGTCGCAGTTACAATGTTTAGACTGGAGCTCACCTAAGCTTAGTTGCAGTTACAATGTTTAGACTGGAGCTCACCTAAGCTAAGTTGCAGTTACAATGTTTAGACATACACCTATTCCCTCAGTCTCATATTCCTTACTTTGAAAATAAAGTGCTTATCGTATTGTATCATTACTATATCTTATTGTAGCAATACTATATCTTATTGCAGCATTACTATATCTTTTAAAATCTCTGAAATGAGTAATTTTTGTAGCTCTATAACTATATGAACATTTAATATTTCATTTAGATGTAAAAAAAAAATGGGTTTTTTTTGTTGTTGTTGTTACAAATCATAGTGTATTTGTGTGTATAAATGTCGTGCTGACCATCAAGGGCCCTTAATAGGAACAATAAATATCCTTATTCTTGTTCTTATACATCTCTTTCATAACGTGTTGTGATTAGGAAAATTATTACCAAACAATGAATTGATTTACATTCCTCCCTACGTTGTTACAAAATGTGTCTACAATAAGGATAACGACTTCATTTTTAAACTCACAATCGTCGAACAGATGACATTCAATTATCATTAGGAATTGAAAGTATGTAGTTGCAGTTGTGTTTATTCATTTCATAATTGTGATTTTTAAGTTCCGCATAATTATCTTCAAAATATTAAGGTTTTTTGCTCAAATAAAAAACGGTACAGTTATAATAAAACTTTTAGAAACTTTGCCAATAGCTTAAGATGAGAGACAACATAAGTGTGTAGAATACAAAATTAATTATAACTATAAGAAATGATAAACCACTGAAAGGTTTCATTGTGTTCAAAATATGTTTCTTCGTATTTTCAAATAACAAAAGGTTGGGGGAAAAGATCACACAAATAGATTTTTGCAAAGAATGATATAGATCAATGTTATTTGCTGGCTCGTTTTGTGGTACTGTTAGCCATTACATAATGCTATATGTCATATCATGGGGAAGTTATGCTTCAATTGCTTATGAATGAAGTGTAAATTTACAGAATGATTGTGTTGCAACTAAAAATGCTATTTCAACAAGCATTCTGTGAGTATTGCATGGCAATACATAGTCCCCTACCGGTTAAAACTTCATTGTATTGGAACAAAATTCTAACTTGATCTATAACTTGTCATGGTGTAAACTATGTAACAAATATCAAGTCAATATCTTCAAGCATGAAGAAAAAAAGTTTTGAAAACTGATTATTTAAGTGAATTTTCTAAGTCCAAGGACCATAACTCTGCACAAAATCATCATACCGGACCAAAATTCGAACTTGATCTGTAACTTGTCATGATAAAACTATGTACCAATTTTCAAATCTATATCTTCAAGCATGACGAAAAAAAGGGCGAAAAACTGATTATTTAAGTGAATTTTCTAAGTCCAAGGACCATAACTCTGCACAAAATCATCATACCGGACCAAAATTCGAACTTGATCTGTAACTTGTCATGATAAAACTATGTACCAATTTTCAAATCTATATCTTCAAGCATGACGAAAAAAAGGGCGAAAAACTGATTATTTGAGTGAATTTTCTAAGTCCAAGGACCATAACTCTGCACAAAATCATCAGACCGAAACAAAATTCAAACTTAAACTTTAACTTGTCATGATAAAACAATATACCAATTATCAAATCAATATCTTCAAGAATGACA